CTTCAAGGAAAAGTTAAAGAAGTTACAGGAAGAAATAAACAATAAAACAATACTAGTGGGGGACCTAACTTTCCAATTTCAGAACTAGATAAATCTAACCAAAATACAAACAAGAAGGAAATTAAGGAGGTGAATAGAATTTTAGAAAAGTTAGATATGATAGACCTCTGGAAAAAATTGAATGGGAATAGAAAGGAACATACCTTTTCCTCAGTGGTACATTGCACCTCTACAAAAATTGACCATGTATTAGGGCATAAAAACCTCACAAATGCCAAAAAGTAGGAATATTAAATGCATCCTTTTTCAGATCATAATGCAATAAAAATTACATTCAATAAAAAGCTGTGGGGGGCAGCTAGGTGGCACAGTGGATAGAGCACTGGCCCTGGATTCAGAAGGACCTGAGTTCAAATCCGGCCTCAGACACATAACGCTTACTAGCTGTGTAACCCTGGACAAGTCACTTAACCCCCATTGCCCAACCAAAAACAAACAAACAAACAAAAAGAATCTAATAGTCAAACCAACAATAATTTGGGGCAGGTAGGTGGTGCAGTGGATAGGGCACTGGCCCTGAAGTCAGGAGGACCTGAGTTCAAATCCGGCCTCAGACCAAGCACTTGACAAGTACTAGCTGTGTGACCTTGGGCAAGGCACTTAACCCCGATTGCCTCACTAAAAAAAAAAAAATGAAAAAAAAAAGCTGTGGAAACATAGATTAAAATTAATTGGAAACTAAATAATCTAATCCAAAAAAGAGTGAGTCAAAGAATAAATCATAGAAACAATAAATAATTTCATTAAAGAGAATGACAATAATGAGACAACATACCAAAATTTATGGGGTACAGTCAAAGCGATACTTAGGAGAAAATTTATATCTCTAAATGCCTACATCCATTGAACTAATAAATAAAATTGAGAAATAATACTATGGAAAAAAACAATAAAATCAATAAACCTTTGGTTAATTTGACTTTAAAACATTGCCAGTATCAAAAATGAAAAAGTTGAATTCACCACCAATAAAAGTGAAATTAAAGCAATTGTTAGGAGCTATTTTACCTAATTATATACCAATAACTCTAACAAGTTAAGTGAAATGAATGAATACTTTGACAAATGTAAATTGTCCAGAATAACAAAAGAGGAAATAGAATACCTAAATAACCCTATCTTAGAAAAAAAAATTGAATAAGCTATCAATGAGTTCCTTAAGATAAAAGTCACCAGAACCACATGGATTCACAAAATAATTCTACTGAACATTTAAAGAATAATTAATCCTAATACTATATAAACTATTTGGAAAAATAGGCAAAGAAGGAGTCCTACCAAATTCCTTTTATAAGACAACTATGGTACTGATAATTAAAGCAGGAAAAGTGAAAACATAGAAAGAAAATTATAGACCAATTTCCCTAGTGAATATTGATGCAAAATTTTTTAAATAAAATACTACCAAGGAGATTACTGCAATATAACACAAATACCATACAGTATTACTTTGTGAGATTTATACCATGAAGGCAAAGATGGTTCAATATTAGGAAAACTCAGCATAATTGACCACATAAATAACAAAAACAATAAAAATCAAATGATTATCTTAATAGATGCAGAAAAAACCTTTTGACAAACACAACTCATTCCTATTAAAAACACTAAAAAGCATAGGAATAAATGGAGTTTTCCTTAAAACGTTAAGTAGTGTCTATCTAAAACCATCAATAAGCATTATCTGTAATGGAGATAAGCTAAAAGCTATCTCAATAAGATCAGGGGTGAAGCAAGGGATGCCCATTATCATCACTGTTATTTCAATATTGTACAAGAAATGCTAACTATAATAATAAGAGAAGAAAAAGAAATTGAAGGAATTAAAATAGGCAATGAGGAAACAAACCCTTCACTCTTTGCAGATGATATGATACTATACTTAGAAAATCCTAGAGAATCGACTAAAAAACTACTTGAAATAATTAACAACTTCATCGAAGTTGCGGTATATAAAACAAACCCACAGAAATCATCAGCATTTCCATCTATTACCAACAAAGTTTAGCAATAAGAGATAGAAAGAGAAATTCCATTTCAAATAACTGTAGATAATATAAAATATTTGGGAGTTTATCTGCTAAGACGAACCCAGCAACTATATGAACACAATTACAAAACACTTTTCACACAAATCAAGTCTGTTCTAAACAATTGGAAAAAAATATTAATTGCGCATGAGTAGGTCAAGTCAATATAATAAAAATGACTATTCTATATAAATTAATTTACTTATTCAGTGCCATACCAATTAAACTACTAAAAATTTATTTTATGGAGCTAGAAAAATAATAACATTCATCTGGAAGAACAAAAGGTAAAACTATCAAAGAGATCAATGAAAAAAATCTGAAGAAAGGTGGCTTAGCCATGCCAGATCTCAAATTATATTACAAAGCAGTAACCATTAAAACAGTCTGATACTGGCTAAGAAATAGAATGGTGGATCAGTGGAATAGATTAAGTACACAGTACAGTGTTGTAAACAACCTTTGTGATCTAGTGTTTGATAAACCCAAAGACCTAAGCTTTAGGTCCAAGAACTCATTATTTGACCAAAAAATTGCTGGGAAAACTGGGAAAGCACTTTGGCAGAAACTAGGTATAGTCTTACATCTCATATCTAACATCTCATATCAAAATAAGGTCATCAAGTATATCAAAATAAGGTCAAAATGGGCACATGCTTTAGACATAAAGGGTAATATCAGCGAATTAGGGGAGCATGAAATAGCTTACCTGTCAGATGGATAAGGGAAGACTTTATGATCAAACAAGAGACAGAGAGAGTTATGAGATGTAAAATGGATAATTCTGATTACATTAAATTAAAAAAAAGTTATTGCACAAACAAAACCAATGCAGCCAAGATTAGATGGAAAGAAGAAAACTAGAGGATTTTTTTACAGCATGTGTCTCTGATAAAAGCCTCATTTCTCAAATGTATAGAGAACTGAGTCAAATTTATGAGAATACAAGTCATTCCCCAGTTGATACATGGCCCAACAGACAGTTTTCAGAATAAGAAATCTAAGCTATCTATAGTCACGTAAAAATGCTCTAAAGCACTATTGATTAGAGAAATGCAAATTGAAACAACTCTGAGGTATCACCTCACATCTATCAGATTGATTACTATGACAGAAAAGGAAAGTGACAAATATTGGAAAGGAAAATTGGGACAATGCATTATTGGAGGAGTTGTGGACTGTTCCTATCATTCTGGAGAACAATTTGTAATTATGCCCAAAAGGCTATAATATCATGTACATCGTTTGACCCAGCAACCGCACTGTTCTGTCTATATCCTGAAGAGATGAAGGAGAAAGGAAAAGAACCTTCTTGTACAAAAATATTTGTAGCACCTTTTTTTTTTGGTAGCAAAGAATTTGAAATTGAGGGTATGTGAATCAGTTGGGAAATGGCTAAACAAGTTGTGGTATATGATTCTGATAAAATATTATTATGCCATAAGAAATAACAAGCAGCATGCTTTCAGAAAAAAAAAACTGGAAAGACTTACATGAACTGATGCAAAGCGAAGTGAGGAAAACTAGAAGAACATTGTACACAGTAACAGCAATATTGTATGATGAGCAACTGTGAATGGCTTATCTATTCTCAACAATACTATTCAATATAATTCCAAAGGAATCGTGTTGAAAAATGCTATCCACCCCCAGAGAAAGAACTAATGGTGTCTATATGCAGATTAAGAAATACTACTTTCCACTAACATTTACCTCCCTCCTTGCTCCTACTGCAAATGTGACATTTTAAATTGTCCCTCAGTTCTCATCCTCTTTCTCCTCTTGGCTGCGTAATCTCCTCCCTGAGCACCCCATTTCCTCTTATATGCACATTGTGGGGTTTTTTTGAAGCTTCAAAGTCAATGTCTTTCTTGAGGGGTTTATTTGAAGCTTCAAAGTCAATGTCTTTCGTTTCTCCAAAGAAAAGAAAAAAAGACATTCCTGTCCTCCAAAACAAAACAAAACATTTCCTCATCCCACACCCTTTACTAGATCTAAAGAAAGTCCATGTGGTTTCTTTCCTCTACTACAATGGACAATGTATAACCAGGTGCCATTTCTTGAGTTTTCTCTAAGCTACTGATCAGTTAGCTTAAGTGAGCAGCAGATAGTGATAACATTGATCATTGACTTCATCCTGTAAGTTTGCAAAGTATTTTACAAGTAGGAGAACTGTAGGTAGTTTAACTCCTCCCATTTTACAAATGAAGAAACTGAGGCTCAGGGAGGTGTAGTGATTTGCCATGGGTTATGTAGCTTGTCTGTGTCAGAGGTAGGATTGGAACCCATGTGTTTCCAGAATCCAGCTCCAACACTTGACTGTAGCAGTCCTCTGTAGCTAGATCTGTTCTGGTGCCACTACTGAGTGTCCTTGCACACTGCATTTAAAATCAAAAGACTTATATTCAAATTCTGACTTTTCTTTTTACTTCCTATGTGATCTTGGGCAGGTCCCTTCCCTTCTCTGGGACTCAGTTTTCTCATTTGTAAAATGGGAGGATTGGGTTAGATAGTTTCTAAAGTCCATTCTTATTCTAAAGACAATCCTGTCCTAAATGTCAGGAGTTGGTCACTCCAATTGCATGAGAGCAGGGAGGGCAGCACGAACTTAATTTAGCCTTTCCTCATCTCCTCCCTATCACCCCCTGTGCTCCCCCCCTTCCCTGCCCCTTAGTACCTCCCTGCTAAGTTACTAGTACCTTTTTCCACCAAATCATTTGTATAGACCTCTACAACTCATTTCTCCTTTGGCTAGGTTGTAAAGGTTTGAGGGAAGGAAGTGTTTTATATTTGTCTTTGTACACTTGCAGATTGACTGATTGAGTCATCCCTGGGGCCAAGCTTCCAAAACTGATATAACTTGCCCAACTGGATCACCAATTTTGCTTCCCATCCTGAAATAAGGCATACCTTTTTCCTCAGGAGGTCTTTGACCATGGGGAATTCGATTGACGTTAAGTATGTAACCATCTTCAGTTGGGATGTAGTATTCCTCACTGGGGTAGCCACAGTAGGTGATGAGCTCACTCTGCAAAGATATAAAATGCATTAGGGACAGGAGTTGGGTCAGGCTCTTTTCTGCCAAGTATGGATGGCCACTGGTTGAGTGTGTGGCAGAGGGGAATCCTTGTCCAAGGATGGACCCGTGGCCATCCATACTTTGCTGGAAGACATCCAGTGAGGGAGAATGCACTAGAGTCCAAATCTAACATTCCCTTCTTTTCCATGACTTACAATATTCATCGACACTTCGGGTTCCACAGGATATTTTGAGTCAGAGAATCCATGGGCATTTAGAATTCCATAGGTGAAATATATTACTGCAGAAAAGAGCCACATCTCAGGTTTACCTAGAACAAGACACCAACTATTAATACTAAAGGGTCTTTGCTGTTACCGTTGCTCTTCAAAGTTGGTTGGTACAGACAAATCTGAACCCTTAAAAAGTAAGGCCAAGCTCTGGATGACAGATATTGTCAAAGAAGATATTGCTCAAGATGGAGGCAGGAGCCAGAATTGCACCATGAAGATATTTGTATCTTACACACAAGAATTAGTGTGACTTCTCTCAGTTACAGAAAAGAAAACAATATGATGAATTCAGTGGTTCAACCAGGTTCGTGCCACACCTTGTATCAGGGTTTCCCAATCTATCTCAGTTGATGACGCATCAGGAAACATCCTAGAAGTTATGGGACACACCGACATACCAAGAAGCCAGCTTCAGTGCCAGTTGGGATTGGAGCTGGAACCCAGAACCCAACAAAACCACTTTTGGGGATGAAACACTCTCTTCCCCAGAAAACCAAAGATTCATCTTACGACATTTAAATGTGTCATTTTTGCTCTTATCTACTTACAAGAAGTTGCATCTCCATGGTAGGGGCTGAAGAACATGATTTCAGTACTTTTGCCATGATCGGCAAATATAATACCTTTAAAACCTGGTATGCCTTGACAGCAAAGTTATTTTCCATTTAACAGTGTTTGTGGGTTTGATCACAATTTTAGGTTTTGACCACTTGTATAAAACGATGGATGACTTTTTTTTGTTCAGCTAATGTCCTTCCAAATATTATAACCATGTTTATTCTAAGTGATCAATCAAAGGATTACTTAACCATGTTGTTGTTATTTGCGTTGTATCCTATAGGTTAGGAAGTACTATAGGGACAGCTGGGCAGCTAGGTGGGGCAGTGGATAGAGCCCTGGGCCTGGAATCAGGAATATTCATCTTTATGAGTTCAAATCTGGCCTCAGGCATTTACTAGCCATTTGACCCTGGGCAAGTCTCCTAACCCTGCTTGCCTCAGTTTCCTCATCTATAAAATGAGCTGGAGAAGGACATATCAAACCATTCCGGTATCTTTGCCAAGAAAACCCCAAACGGGGTCACGGAGAGTCAGACATGACTGAACAACAACAAATAACGAAGTGGGAACTTTTATGAGCCAGTGATGCTGACACTGGGACTGAAAATATTGAAGGCAGGATAGGGACCTTTGAGATGATCTCATCTTATATTATAAAAGAGAAAAAAGAGGGGCACAAAAAGGCAGGGACTGGCCCAAGGTCACAGAGGCAACAAAGGGAAAACTCAGAATCTGAACAGAAATTCTTTGGACTTCCGATGTGGTGTGGTTTTCAGCACACCTTAGCTGCTTGCCTGCATAGAACACAGTCAAAGTGTCCTTTGCATGCTCCAAGTATAATGGTGCACAGGATAGGAAATGATGGTCGCCATAGTTGGAAATAACCAGTTTGGGTACATTTTTTTTCATTTTTTATCTGGATGGTTGACATTGGGTAGTCAAAGGAACAATAATATTTTATAAGTGCATAGCATAGCCAAGATACCAAAATAATACAGCTCCCGCCATCTCACTTCTATCTCCTTTCCTCCATCATGCTCTTCTCCTTTCTTACATGCTGGCATCTAATTTCTTTCTTTTGGAGGCATTTGGGTTAAGTGACTTGCCTAGGGCCACACAGCTAGTAAGTGTCTGAGGCCAGATTTGAACTCCTGTCCTTTTGACTCTGGGTCCAGTGCTCTATCCACTGCACCACCTAGTTGCTCCAACTGGTATCTAATTTCAAAGGGAGAGTGAGCAACGAGGCAAGCAGGTTAAGGCCACTTAGTCTTGTGTCTAGAAGTGGTTCTCAGAAACAACATGGAAGAGAGGAAAGAAGAGCAGAGAGGGAGCTGTCGACCACTTTTAGCTTGCGAGCCTCTCCCCACCCACAACCCCGAATTAGCTTAGCAACCACCTTAAGCAAATAAAATGGAAGTTGAAAACAAAATTGGGATGCTTGGCCCCAAATACCTCTAGCTGTCTTTTAGCAGATAGGGATTTTGAAGATCTAGGTTATCTGTATGTGACCTTGGACAAGTCATTTCCCTTTTCTGAAATTTAGTCCCCCCATCCCTAAAATGGGGGGGGGGGTTAGACTTGATGTTCTCCAAGTCTCTTTGAGCTCTAGAGCCTAGATAATGATGGTGGTGGTGAAGGTGAGAGCTGTCAGTTACAGGGCACCCTAGTGTTACTAAGGTACTTTTCATCTACAATCTTACACCAACCCTGTGAGGAAGGAATAGTATACATCCTACAAATGAGGAAATTGAGATTCATAGGAGAGACTGGCCCAAGATACCCACACAAAAATATAGAAACTTGAAGCATACATGCCTAGATTCCTTGCTTCCTTTTATGTGTAGACCCAGTCAAGGCAATTACTAAATTTGCTCATGAAGTCTTTCATTGCCTAGTTTGGAGAAGGAAAGGGAGAGGTCAATTGGTCCCTAATCCACTTGATTCACCTGAGAAGCTTGGTGCTCTTACTTCTTATCTACTCTACAATCCTAAGGGAAAGGAAGAAAAAAAATGCACACTATAGTTGGCCCTGACCTCATCACAAAGTTTTATCCATCTTATCTTGAAAACAAATACTCAAGACTTGGAGCACACAGAGCTGTTCTTACTTCCCCTCCATTGGCTTCAGTTTGATCATCTGTAAAATGGGTGGTTGGATTGGATGACTTCTGAAGCCTCTTAGCTCTAAATCTATGATCCTACGACATCAATTAGCAAGGTCCAGCCCCAAGCAATCCTAGAAATCCTTGAAAAACACATCTAGATTATGAAATTTGACCAAGGTCACCCAAACAGTAAATGACAGCAATAATTAATCAACCAATCAATTGACCAATAAGCCTTCATGAAGCCCCCTCTATGTGCCAGGGACTGTGCTAAATGCTGAGAATTCAAAGATGAAACTGAAACAAGTCCTGCCTTCAAGGAGCCTACGTTCTAATGAAGGAGAAAACATGAGCGAATAAATACAAAATGGATACAAAGTAATCGGGTGGAAGTACTAGCAGCTGGAGGATGAGCAGGGCCTACTGCAGAAAATGGAATTTGATCTGAGACTTGAAGAAAGCCGAAGATTCCAAGAGCTAGAGGCGAGGAAGGGACATATTCCAGGCATGGGGGCAGAGGGGCAGCCATTGCAAAGGTAGAGATGGGAGAGGGATTGTTGTTTGGACAAAAAAGCAAGTGTGTCGGTATTTCTGGACTGGAGAGGGCTTAGAGGGGATCGATGGTCCAAAAGGCACAGTTGTAAAGAGCTTTAAGTACCTCCCCCTCCAAAGGAGTTTTAATTCGATCCTAGAAGTGATAGGGAGTTATTGAGGGGGACTGAGGATGAGACAGGGACAGACTAGCATTAGGAAAACCACTGTGGCGGGTGAGTAGAGACTGGATTAAAGAAGCGGGAGACTTTAGTCCTAGCGACCAAATACGGGGATATTGGAGTAGTCCAGGCAAGAGGTAATGAGGACCCAAACTAGGTCTGTGAGAGCAAAGAGAAGAAAAGGCACGCACTACGTGTTTGGAACCCAGATCATTTTACTCCAGAGCCCGGGATCTTTCCATTGCCTTATGCTGCCCATCAATGGTGTTTTTGGCTGAGGGAGGGAGCACATTCGTATCATTCATCTAGATGACGAGGGGTTTTGGGAGCTCTGTGGGAGTGTGTTGTGGCCATAATTGCAGATGCAACTCTATGGCCAAGCTTCTGCTAAGAAATATTCCTCTAGCTCTTTAGATGACTCAAAGATATGACTGAATAATAGCACTTGGGTCTGCTTTTCTAGAATGTGTCACCCCATCTGTGTGAGCTCAGCTCAGTCTGTGAACCTAGGGAGTCATCTTATCTAGTTATCATATCTTACTTTCTGTGCATCCTCAGTATCCACTGAGGATAGAGGGCTGAGGGCACATGAGACACCACCAACATAAGTGGAAATTAACTGAAGGGATTAAAACAGATTTCCAAAGCACTTTCTGGGCACTGGTAAGGAGAAGAATGCTTGGCTTTTTACCTCCAAAAGGTGATTTCCCTCCCTCTCCAACCCTGCTTCATTTTACTTGACACCATGTCAGGAAAGGAGAATGAACATGGAACATGCATTCCCCTAGGCTGGAGGGGATTATTGTAGTCTATTTGGCTTCCTGTTGGGGGGCTCTGACCCTGGCTGTGAATGATCTGAGCCAATGAAAGCCTCCTATTGCCCTCTAGGTGCACTGATCACAGCCAGCAGGGCTAAGTGTATGGGTGCATAGAGGATCCCAAGGTGCTTAGTCTCCTCCTCTGAATCGTGAGTATGGTTTGGGGAGGTCTGGGAGGGGGCAGTCACATCTTTCCATTTCACTCCATTGCCTGGAGTGGCAGGATTTCAGAGTTTTGAGGGACTGGCTCACAATTGCGTCTTCCTGAAATAATATTCACAGGACTAAAATATCCAACTACAGACTGGGGGAAAGAGTTCTGGCATCTCAAAGATGAGATGCTGTCACTGTCACTGGAGGACTGATGAATGGGCCGATTTCCAAATATTAAAGCATTTGAGTCACCTCAGTTTCTTTATCTGTAGAATGAACAGGTTGAACTAGATGGCCCTTGAGCTCCCTTAACACTCCAAAGCCTTCCTGACACAGACACTTGAGTTGGCCCAGTATATGGCTGGGCACAATGGTGCACACCCACACCCATATGTATGCACACATGCATGCACACACGTGCACACGTTCATTTACATATACATGCACACATGCACATGCATGCACACACATGAGCACACACACACGCTCAATATGAGTTTTTAATAAAAACAACAGCAGTTTTGTCTTAAGGTTTACAGAACTCCTTACCTGTGTTATCCCTTTGAGACCTACAATAACCCTGTGAGGGATGTACTATAGATGTTACTGTCCCCATTTTACAGATGAGGGAAACTCACTCTCAGAGAGAAATGGCTTGCTAGGGGGTGTATATCTGGAGAATGTTGGATGCTGGAGTCAAACACAGATCTCCCAAGCCTAGTACCATTTCCACTGTACGTTCCATGGTGCCTCTTAAATTGCTGAATTTCTAGTTATGTCTTTGTCAGATGACAGCAGATCAAATGGGATAAAGCAGCTAATGAATGTGCTTTGTAAACCTCAGCAGTGTCAGAGAGGTGCTGGACCCTCTTTGTTTACTGTCTAAATCGCTCTCAACATTGAGAGAATTTCCTCAATCTTCTTACCCACTTGGAGCATAGAGAGGCAGCCAAACTTTCAAAGCAAGACAACAGTGCGCAAAAGATCGTGGGGTCCATTTCCCTGCTCCAGACATTCTTTCCTTAAGAAGGTATGGAGCAGTTCTGTCAGCCCTCAATTCAATTCTACTCACTTCGATTCAATTTAATTTAACAAGTGCTTGTTAAACTCCTAATCTGAGCAAGGCCCTGCCCCTGCTAGTATCAAGTACTGACGATCATCCAAAAAGTAGACCAACATCTTGCCATACGTTCCCTAGCCTCTCTTTTCTGGGGTTCCTTTGTCTAGAAATCCCCTCCCATGGTACTCATGTAGCCAGCCCTGAGCCACACACCCTCAGTCCCCAGCAGGGCCCTTGGCACTCAGTCAGGTTATCCTTTCCATTCTTGAACTCATCAATTCCTTGGAAAGGGCTTGATTGGATACAGCATGATACTGGTTTAGAGTTAAAAGACTCAGGTGTGAACTCAGGCTCAGTCACTTATTCTCTTGGGATTTGGGTTGTCATTCAGCCTCTCTGCCCTCAGTTATTCCCCTGTCAAATAAGGGAGTTGGATGAGATGACTGCGAAGAGCTACATTTATGATCCTATAATTCTCATATTCTGAAGACTGAAAGACAAGCTCTTGTCTTCTGTCCATCACTGGAACCAGATATTATAAGGAATCACTCTGAGAAACATGAGGAAATCAACCTTTGTTGCCCCTTTTGCTTTCTGCCCCTGGGCCGTCTCTTGGGGCACCTCAGTTCTCATCATTTATACCTGGTACTTTGGGAAATCTTGCAAAGAAAGCTAGATTGAAAGTATTAGGAGTCTTTACCACTTTACATTCAAGATGTGAAGCCTATATCCTCTCAGGTGTGGCCAATTCTTGTCAGTCCTTCCTCTGATACATGCCATTTCACATCCATGCCCTTCTCTTCACCCAGGTAGCCCATACTCTACATCAGGCTTTCATCATCCCTCCTGGACTACTGAAACAGCCTCTCACTTGGATGGCTAGCTTCAACTTCCAATGTCTCCTCTTTCCTGTCTATAAACCACATAGCTGCCAATATCCTTAAAGCACAAGCCTGACCGCATTAGTTTCTGACTCAAGAACCATCTCTGGTTTCCTAATGTCTCTAGGAAAAAATACAAGTTCTTCAGCTTTGAATTTAAAGCTATTCCCCATCTGACTCCATTTGTCTTTTGTAAATGATTATGCATCATTCCTCACCCTCATGAATTCCATGTTTCAGCCCAACTGTCTACTCACTGGGCTTCAAAGGATCATGGTTAGATCTAGAGGTTGAAGGGACCTTGGAGGCCATCAAACCTGACCCCCCACTTTACAGTTGAGGAAACTGAGGCCCCAGGGAAGTGAGGTGACTTGCCCAATATCACACTGCTTGTAAGTGTCTGAGATGAGATGTGACTTCAGGTCCAGCGCTCTCTTCACCAGATCATGCCTCCCCTGCGCCTCACAGGTTGTCTGTCCTTCATGCTTGGAATATTCTCCTTCCTCACTTCCATCTCTTCATTCAAGTTTCAAGCCATGTGCCACTGGCTATAGGATGTCTCCCCTGAGGTCCCTAATTGTCAGTGCTCTCTCTCCCTTCTCAAATCATCACGCATATCTGTTTAGCATCATGCATATACTTATCTGTTTCTATAAACTCTAGCCTCCGCACTCATCATAAAATGTGAGCTCCTTGAGTGCAGGGACTGTTTGTTAGTGGTATTGGTGTTCATATCCCCATCACTTAACGCAGCACTATGCATGTAATAGGTGCTTAATAAATGCTTCTTCTGTGGAAGTCAAATTCCATATAACCTTGTGAATAAAAAAGCTATAAATCTTACCTCATTTTTTTAAAGTAAAAAAAAAAGTATGCTTCCATCTGCACCCAGACTCCATCAGTTCTTTCTCTGGGGATAGACAGCATTTTTCATCATAAGCCCTTCAGAGTTGTCTTGGATCATTGTACTACTGAGAATAGCTAAGTCACTCCCAGCTGATCATCTCACAATATTACTGTTACTTTGCACAGTACATTTCACTTTGCATCAGCCTATGCAAGTCTTTCCAGATTTTTTTTTGCTCATCGTTTCTTATGGTACAATAGTATTCCATCATAATCACATCACAACTTGTTCAGCCCCAGTTGATGGGCATCTTCATAATTTCTAACTCTTTGCTCCCAGAAAAGAGGTGCTATAAATATTTTTGGTTTTTTCTTTTCTTTTTTTTCTTCTTTTTTAAAAATCCCTTTGGGATACAGACCTAGTAGTGGTATTACTATGTCAAAGGGTATGCCTGATTTTATAGCCCTTTGGGCATAGTTCCAAATTGCTCTACAGAACAGTTGAATCAGTTCACAACTCCACCAATAGTGCATTAATGTCTCATTTTTCCCACATCCCCTCCAACATTTGTCATTTTTCTTTTCAGCCCTATTAGCCAATCTAATAGGTATGGGGTAGTACCTCAGAATTGTTTCAATTTTCATCTCTCCAATCAATAGATAGAGCATTTTTCATAGGGCTATAGACAGCTGTGATTACTTCATCGGAAAACTAATCATATCTTTTGATCATTTATCAATTGGGAAATGGCTCTTATTTTTATAAATTTGAGTCAGTTTTCTATATGCTTGAGAAATGAGGCCTTCATCAGAAAAACTTGTAAAGCTGATCTCCTAGTCCTATATCTTTTAAAACAAAACTCTGTTAAAATGTTGCATTGTAGAGGTAAGGACAAAGAAACATTTGCAAGTGAGCTTTCATGTTCTATACTCAACCATAGAAGAGGTTTAAAACAATTTTTTAGAGTCCCTCCCCCACTCACCAGACAAATAGAAGCCATGCTTTCAATTGTAGGGAAAGCAAAAAAAGATAATTTTGTAATAATCTCAGTGAAATTCAATATAGATCAGATCACAGGGGGGGAAATGGTTGTTTAGAATATTTATGCCCAGAGGAGAAAAATTCCCATTAATGTTTAAAAACTAATTTCTTTGTCCATGATGCAATTCAACAAAAGCCTTGACTCTGAAGCCCTATGTCATCATTATATACTATCAACATTCATGTGGTCATCAACTGTAATGGAGAAGAATATCCTGAGCCCTAACCCTGTTCTATTTCTCTTCAGTTCCTGCCAAGCCCTCTACATCTTCTAAAACATAGAGATGGTATAGTTTAATGAAGAAGTGGCAGATGGTAAACCTTTAAAAAACTTTCATTTCACATTCTGAATTCGGATAGGGATCCCTACGCCCCAAAAAGATTTGGGCAGCAAAGCCATCAAAGCTCTTTTGAAATGCTCCCTTTTTGTCTAACTCAGAGGCAAGTCTCCTAGAAACATAAGAATCATAATTACCAGGTTCCAAAAGCTGGAAGTGCCAACAGCTTCACGTGTTGAGATGCAGGCTTAGCAATGGCAGGATCAGAGATGGTGGCAGAGCTTAATACTTTCTGAAGAAAAGGAAGGGAAAGATCACACACTTATCAGAAGCAAGCAAATGCCCCTGTTCATTTGATCCAATTTTCATCAGCGGTATACATAGCTGCCTCACCTCTTGCTCAATGGGCCCACTTAAGTGTGGTTGGTCCACTTTAGAAATCTTCACGTGTTTGAATACTTGGAGGGGGCAGATTCAAATGATGACTTTTTTCACCCCTAGGCATGTGAAACAAGAAGCCAGAAATTCAGGTTGGAGCTAGTTCTCCATCGTGGCCTCACCCATTGGCCCTGGCCTGGTGAGTGTGCCTTTTCCTCATGGAGATGATGTCACCTCTTCTTACATATGTTTTTGGTTCCTTCCCCTGGATTTCTCCCATTTCTCTAAAATAATTATCAAACCTTACAGGAGTTGCCCTGACATTCCATAATGTTTCCTTTAGGGCTCAAGTTATGATAGAGTTCGCTCATAGGCAGAGATGGGGTGTGGAAAGTGCATTGGGCCAGGAATGAGTGGAAATATGGATACGAAACCTGGCTCTGACAATTTATAACTGCATCACTGTCAATGAGGCCTTGCACTTCTCTGAGACCCAGTCTTTTCACATGTAAAACAGAGATTATAATAACACCTACCTTGCATTTGGGGGAAGGCTTTGTACATCTAAAACCACTCTAGATAGGGAAGTTTCTCTTAAATGAAACCTGGGAGAGATGATAGTCAGCTAGGTGGTGTAGTGGATGGGGCCTGGAGTCAGGAAGGCTGAGTTCAAATCCAGCCTCAAACTCTTACTAGCTGTGGGACCCTGGGCAAATCACTTCATTCTGTTTGCTTCAATTTTTTCATCTGTAAAGCTGGAGAAGGAAATGGCAAAACCCCAAACGGGTCATGGAGAGTCTGACATGACTGAAATGACTGAAAAGCAATGTGACTCCAGTGCAGACTGTCCCCAGTGGGAGCTTCTAGAAGTTTGCATGCAAGGGTCATTCTCAGCAATCTTGAATGTGTCAGGCCTGTGGAGGTCACGTGACAGTAGCAATTAGTTTTTGAAACCACCGGTATCAACGATGCTACACATTTCAATGAAAAAGAAAAACAAACCAGAAAAATTAAGGGGAATGTCTGGGCATTGTCACTGAGGAAAGGAGAGATAGCTTTAAAGTGATTCTTTGTCTGTGTGGGAGTTCTCAGGTCTGATGCTTATAACTCAGGTGGAGCTGGAATTCTGAAACAGATGCCGTATCAGCTGCACTCTTGAGACATTGCCCGGAAATGCTGCGAAGAAAGAGCTGGTGTGTTTCATAAGACTGAGATATAGAAGGAACCTTAGAGATGATACATCCAGTCTAACCCCTCATTTCATTTTATTTATTTTCATTTTTTTCTTTTTTAAGGTAATGTTTTTATTTCACCCAATTACATGTTAAAAACAATTCTTAACATTTGTTTTTTTTTTCAGTTTTGAATTCCAAATTCTCTCTGTCCTTCCTCCCCACCCCCCAGATGGCGAGCAATCTGACATTTATGTTTTCTCAGTTGCAATTTTTATATTACAATTATTTCCATAATAGTTTGCTAAGTGATTTGCATATATTACCTCGTTTTATCTTCATCACACCCCTGTGATGTAGGTGCTATTATTAACCTTATTTTATAGATGAGGAAGGGAGGGCTGAGAGGAGTTAAGTGACACAGAGTAACTGACTGACCTGGAATTTGAACGCAGATCTTCCTGCCTCCGACTCTAGTGCTCTTTCAGCCAAGATTGATTGAGATACCATCTCCCTGCCTCCTTGCCTGCCATCTAACCCTTTCTTGTAAAATAGAACAAAATATTGAAGGAAACTCCAAAGACACAGTAAATACGTCTGACAGTGGAAGGCAGTGGTGTCATCTCCAATAGAAATGAGGCCACTAAACCATTCATGAGGATCCCTGCAGCTGCATATTAACTTAGAAAGCCACGTTAATATTATCTATGTTCTATTATGCTATTGTTTATTTTGTTAAAGTGTCCCCATATTATATTTCATCTGGCTCTGGATGTGCACACATGTGTTTGACACCTGTGATGTAAGCCATGTTCCATATCTGAAGTCTTCCACCTCTTTACTGAGAAGGGGGCATGATCTCTTATCACTTTCTAGGACAGAGATTGCTCATTATGATCAATCAGAATTCAACTGCTTTTAAGTGTTTTTTTCCTTCATTGTAGTCACTGTTTCTTATTCTCCTGGTTTAATTTAATTTGTTCTACATCCATTTATACAAATCTTACTGAGTTTCTCCTAATTATCTTTTCTTACTACAAAATAATATTCTATTAAGTTTATACCCCACAGTTTGTTCACCAGTTTCCTGACTGATGGCACCCTCTTTGTGTTCAGTCTTTTTTTCTTTGCCATCACAATGACTGCTGCAATGAATAGCACGGTATTTTGGTTTGTAAAAAGGCCTTGATTGCTGCATTTTATGTCCTTGATGTATATGCTTTACAGTGAAATCAAAAGGAAGAAGAAAGAGATTGGACCTATGATTATTTCATTGATCGAAGGAACTCCCAGATGAGGGGATTCCCTCTACCAACGTAGGCAACTTATAATCTTATGGGTGACTTCCCAACCTCTACCTCTTAGCTTTCTTGACTTCCTTTGAGACTCTGCTCAAATCCCGTCTTCTCTAGGAGGCTTTTCTGGCCCCCTTCCCACTATTCTTCCCTTCTCTTTGAGCTCACTTTTCATTTACTCTGTTTCTAACTTGTAGAGATACATAGTTATTGACATGTCTCCCTCTAGCAGGTGAACTCCCTGGGTGAGGGCCAGTGTTGCTGTGTTTCTTTGTATCCCTAGAACTTCATCCTACGGAGGGCACATAATAAGCAGTTAAGGAATATTTGTTGATTGGCTGCAGTCCTTGCTTGCTTCTGCCTCTTGCTGATCTAACATTTCACTAATTCACCTTTTCATTTTTAGGAAATAGACACCGAGAAGGTTTAGTTATTACTGCTTTATAATATAGTTTACATCTGTTAACAATATGCCCTCTTCGTCTCATTATTCCTCCTTTTTCTTACTGTTTTCCTTGAGATTCAAGACGTTTCTTTAATTTTGAAGGTTGAATTATTTGGGACATACTTCTATAAAATAACTCCATGGAAGTTTGACTAGCATAACATTAATGTGTAAATTAATTTAAGTAGTATGGTCATTTTTATTATGTTTAAATATCCCAACAATTAACAACAAATCTTCCTCCAATTATTTGTCTTCTTTTATTTCTGCCAAGGGTGTATTGTGGTTGTATTTGTACGAGACCTAACCATCTCATGTTAGGCAAACACCTAGATGTTTTATACATTTTGCAACCATTTCCAATGTATTTTTTCTGTGTTGTTGTTTGTTTTTTTGTTTGTTTATTTCTTTGTTTTTTGGTTAGTACTATATACAAATGCTATTTTTAAAATTTCTTTTTCATTCTCTTACTTTGCTGAAGCTATTAGCCATTTCATTTTCTTTGCTGATATGGGAGGTTTTCTAAATAAAATGACATGCCATCTATGATAGGGACAGTTTTATAGCCTCTTTGAAAAAATATATACATATGTATATACTTTTAATTGCTCTCATGTTTATGCTATAGTTAGAATTTCTAGGACCCTGATAATGAATCAGGGGAAGAGATTGCCTTGCTTTCTCCTGCACTTCATAAGAAGCCTCTTGTGTTGTGTCATTGCAGATAACACCAGCTCTTGGTTTGAGATATGTGCTTTTGACCACAAAAATGTCTCTTCTATGTCTTTTTTTTAGGATTTTAAAAAGCATAATTGAATGATTCATCCTCTGCAAAGCTGTGCTCCCTCCTTTTCTCTTGGAGTCCCTTTTCTGCGTCAAGATTCACTCAAGTGCCACCTTTTGAAGGGGACCTTTCCCCGTACTACAAAGAAAGACCTCAAAATATCCCAGAGAACTCACTCAATAAATCACACTGGGGCCAATCCACAGTCACAGGCCCAACTGGTCACAATACTGATTCCTAAAAACTTGCAAACAACATGATCACAATGCAGACTATCTCAAATGGTAGCTTCTAGAAACTAAATTAGAGTAAACCAGGAGAATAATACACCATTACGACAACGGGGGAAAAAAACAAAAGAACTTAAGAACATTTTTTCTGCATAGATATTGCTTGACTAAATATTTTTTTAAAAAGTGGAAGAAGGGTTTTTTGGATTCAGAGCTCTTGTAGAAGGGTCAAAAGGTTTTTTTTGTTGTTGTTTTTTTTTGTTTTTGTTTTTGTTTGTTTTTTTTAGAATAAGATAAGGTACATTTCACCCCTATCATCCTGTGTGTTACTGGAAATTCATGGAGAATACTTTGAGTAAGCCTAGATAGGAATAACTTATGCCTCAAGACTTTTGTTCAGTAACTAATAAAAAAATTGATTATATCCATCTGTACAAGAGCTTACAGAAAATTAAGTATAAAAGAGTAATAGCATGATAATATTCTAAAACCTTTTCTAGCCAAATGTCATTGAAACAGAATAGAGGAACTTGGTAATAATAATGATGAAAGCGTTTTGATGCTACTCTAATATTTTTGTGAAATCCTTTTCTCACCAAATCCAACCCAATCTCTCCTAGTCTTCTAATTTGCCTGTCCCCACCCCACTCTTTGCTTGGTTTGGACTCCCCGTGAGAAGACCAGCACAGTTTGGCCCCATAGATGGGCAGTCTCCTTCAATCTTCCCCACAGAATCTTACACACAGTCACCCAAAGACTTGTAGTGACACCATGTGATTTGGACCATGACCAGATGGCAAGCACAACTTGCAGCTGCTGAACTGGCAGCCTTTTCCCACGGGAACCACACTATCTGAATAGCTCACAGCAATGGGAGGGGAGTGTCAAGGGCTTGAGTCAAGGAGAGTGTCAAGGGTCCCCCATACCATGGCTTTAATCTCAGTTCTGCTGTTCCTCAAGTTGTAAGAGCCATGTGGGCAATCCTCTTCTCTCTCCAAGAGGCACGGTGCTTAGGAATATCCCCCTCCCCCCCCTTTTTTAAATGAAAGAATTCAATATATTTTTTTATTTTTTAAAAATTAA